CTCAGCCATCTGTGCGATGGGTCAGTTCTTGCGTCTTCCCTGGCGCTTCACACAGCGAAGTATTCTTTAAAAATGCGTCGCAAGTCCGAGCGTTCTTCCAGAGGAGTAAATACCCCGGTGGTTTAGTAACTCCGGCTGTGCCGAGTAACTGCCTTGTGCTGTCTTTTCCTGCTTGGGAGAGTGCGCAGGGAAAATAAATATATTTGAACCAGTAAAAGGTTTGGCGGGGGGGGAGGTAACGTTTCGCTCGATACTGGGAATATGTCTCTTTCTCCTGATGCTGTGCTTGCTGGCTGATGGGTAAAATAATGGGCAAGCGTCGCACCTCTTGACACTCGAGTGCCAGCGGCGGCTTCTCTGCGGGCAGGTTCGGCCGGTGTCCTCCGTCCCTGTCGTGGCCCTGTGGTTTGAGCCGCGCTTTGTTTTGGCACAGTAACCTGCCTCTGTGGAGAAGCGTGTTGTATCACAGCAGAAATGATTCTGGATTTAGGTTGAGTTCCCCAGCTAAGAGACATGCTTGAGTGTAGTTTGCCTACAAGCAAAAAAAAAAAAAAAAAAAAAATTACTTTATGTCCTGTGTCAGAATCTGAGACTGGTGGTATTTACAACTTCTCTTAAAAACCAAGAAATAAACCTCACTTACCACTTCTCTCTGAAGGGCGTGCGAAATTGTCTGTAGCCAGAGAGAGCAAAAATACAAAGAGTAAATGTGGACAAAAGGCACCAGTCTTACCTGTGCCAAGAAACAGCGTTCCTTAAATTAGCTAATGTGTCTCCTAGATAACAACTTGTTTAGAAAACCCTAAGATTTTGTTTTGAAAATCAGGTATAGCATTGTAGGAAGAATGTAAACTCCTAAAGCAGTTCCTCTTTTTTATAAGCTCTAGTACTGCCAGGGAATAAAATTCTAAATATTTCAGCCTAAAATACAGCATTGTAGGCCCAGTCTACGCAGAGAAACGTTAACAGTGTACTTATGTGCAGAACTGTAATGCTACAACAACTCTGTATGTGTATTTTTCTATAACTGCAACCATTTATATAGGAAATGATGATGGTACAGTTTTAAGGTTAAATGTAGAAACCCCTCATTTGGCAGGTGATGACTTTTTGATACCAAAATAATTTCACTGCCTAGAAGACGATGCAGCCCTGTCCAGCTCAGATCTCCAGCAAATAGGTCTGCCTAACCATTCTCATGCAGCAGTTGCTTGGATCTGATAATGCACGTCTGGCATCAACAGGCCCCTTAAATTACTGTATTTTCTCCTCCAAAGAAATGTTCGCACATTTAAATAATACAGTAGAGTACCTAGGCTTTCACTTGGGGTTTTTTTTTTTCAGTGGGATTTCACCATACGCAGCAGCACGTGGTATAGCAAACTTTGTTAAAATGCAGTAGATTATTATGTTTAATATTTCATTTTGTCTTGATCTTCTTACTGCGCACAGTGGCTGCTGTTTACAAGCTTCTAATAACGGAACAATTCCAGTCTAATTTTTATTACACTGGTATGTCATACCTATTTTTTTAAAAGAGAAACCTTAAAAGAATAAGCCCACAGGCTTACCTTTTTTTTCAGCTGTTTTAGAAGTTAGTTTGGAACTGTCAGTTCTGCTTTCTCATAGTGCAGTTCTGAGAAACGAGTTGATAGTCCTGGACTGGTGATAGATTAAAGCATAAGGCCTCGTGCTTGCAAATGAACATGCTGGTAAATATTTTAGCCTCTGTAAAGGCTGAGAGATCTGCATTAGTTTATCTGCTTACAGAAACAGTGCCAAACTCATTAAGAACATTGCAGGCTACCCTCATTTTCATCGTTGATAAAAGACAGAGGCAGAAAACAAACCCAAAC